AATAAAAGTATAGAATCATTAATTCAAAAAAGAGAAAATAATAAATTTAGTAGTTCATCTGCATATGCAATAAAAAAACATTTTGATAGATTTTTGAGAGCTCAAAAAAATGGAAGATTACAACAAGATATGTCATTTACGTTTGAAAGAAGCAGATGTTAATTTTATAGATTTTTTGGAAAATGAATTAGAAGATTACGGAGATGTGTTTTACGCGTATTACGAAGATAATATTCCAGTTGTAGAATTTGATCCGAATGATAAAATTAAGTATGATGAATTTTACGAAAGTTATGAAAAGTTTAAGTCACAGTTAAAACCTGATTATCCTACTTACATTGAAATTTATAATAGGTTTATGAATAGTGATGGTTATGAGAGTGAAGAGTACGACTTTACTTCTTCATCTGATAGTGATTCTGAATAATTACAACTTAAAAACTTACGTCTTATAATATAAGCTTAGTATTATAAGACGCCATGTCTAACCAAGAAAACGGTTTTCAGGGTTCAGTACCCTTTATACAAGATAAGGAATTTCAATATATGTTTTTGGATCAAATAAAACATTTATTAGAACAAGAAAAGAAAGAACTCAAAAAAGATTATAACGAATTAGAGGAAAGAAAGAGATTAATTAAGGAATATCAAAGAATTCAAAAAGCTAGGAAGAAAATAAGAAAAGGTATTGATATTAAAAAAGAATACAGGGAAAAAAGAAAGAAGAAGGAAAAGAAAAAAGTAAAATCTTTTGAGGAGTATTTTGAGGAATGTATTAAAAATAGACAAATTCCACCAGATACTCCTAGTTATATGCGTAAAGCTCTTGAGAGAGCAATGAAAGATTATGACCAAGGATTAAAAAAAGAAAAATCAGCTCTTAAGGAATTTGCTTCTAAATATATAGTATTATATATATAATATTATTCCAGGAGATCCTAATCTTACACCAGGTGAATATTTTGATAAAATGTATGCTACATTATATAACTTTTTTATTTCTCATAAAAATATCAAATTTAACATGGGATTGGTTTGTACAATGGAGCAGCAAATACTTAACAAAGGTAATATTGTAGGATTTAATGAAGGTAAAGCATGTTTTAGATCAGGTATTCTTATGAATCTTAAATCAACAGATGTAGATAAATTAATCGATAAATGTTTTAAGAAAATTATTAAAGATTTAGAGGTTTATGTAAAAAATGGAAGTGGATGGTATTTTAAATATGTGGATCAACTTGAAATTAATATTGTTGAGTTTAACCCATCTAAGGGTTCATCTTATATCAAACTTCCGGAGTGGATATTAAATAAAAGAGCGATTGTTAATATTCAAAACAGAGATGACAAGTGCTTTCTTTGGTGTGTACTTAGACATCTTTATCCAAAAGAATCTCATGATGAAAGAATAACAGATTTAAAAAAGTATGAAAATGAACTCATTACCCAAGGAATTACTTTTCCAATGAATATAAAAGATATTTATAAGTTTGAAAAGCTTAATCCTAAAATTCCAGGTATTAATGTTTTTTCAGTTGATGAGAAAAATGTATTTTATCCACTTAGAATGGCTCAAAGAGATTGTATTAATACCATAGATTTATTTTTGTACGAAAAGGATGGAGTTAGTCATTATTCACTAATCAAACATTTTAACCGTTTTATTAGATCTCAAAAAACTAAAACTAAAACTAAAGATGGTAAGATTCATATTTGCAAAAGATGTTTTTCGCATTATACCAAATTAGAGCTACTTCAAAAACATATCAAATATTGTTCTACCAATGGTGCAGTTTCTGTGAAAATGCCAGAACCAGGTTCAATGTTATATTTCAAAAATTATAACAAACAACTTCCAATACCTTTTGTAGTTTATGCGGATTTTGAATGTTTCACAACTCCACTAAATACTTGTACTCCTAATCCAAATAAATCTTACGGCTACAATTATCAAAAACATGAACCATCTGGATTTTGTTATTATCTTAAAGGAATAACAGGATCGTTTAAACCAGTTACTTTTACCAAAACCAGTGATAGTGATAATGTAGCATTAACATTTGTAAACAAAATTGTAGAATTAACAAAAGCTATTTATGATAAATATTATCGTCGTCCTCGTCAACTCATACTTTCAAGAGATGAACAACAATCATTCAATAAAGCAACATCATGTCATATTTGTCATGGTTTATTAAACGGTGATAAAGTTAGAGATCATTGTCATTTTACAGGAAAGTACCGTGGAGCAGCACATAATCAATGTAATCTTCAACGTCGTAAACCAAGAGTACTTCCAGTTATATTTCACAACCTACAAGGATATGATTCACATTTATTTATCAAACAACTTGCTACTATTCCAGGCAAACTTAATTGTATTCCTTCAACTGAAGAAAAATATATTTCTTTTTCAAAACATATTCAAGTTGGTGAGTATAAGGTTGATGGATTTGTTAAACCAATAACATTTGAAATAAGATTTATAGATTCATTCAAGTTTCTTCAAACATCACTTGCCAATCTTGTTTCAAATTTACAACCGGATGATTTACATAATACTAAAAAAATATTTAAGAAAAATACATCGTTGCTAACTCGTAAAGGAGTATACCCATACGATTATGTTTCATCTCTAGATAAATTCTTAGAAACACATCTACCCCCAAAAGAGGAATTCTATTCAAAGCTAAATGATGAAGATATTTCAGATAAAGATTACCAACATGCAATCAGCGTATTTAACACATTCAAATGCAGATCAATTAGAGATTATCACGATCTTTATCTCAAGTCTGATGTACTACTACTTGCAGATGTATTTGAGAATTTCCGAAAAACTTGTCTCAAACATTACAACTTAGATCCAGCACATTATTACACATCTCCCGGATTAGCTTGGGACGCATGTCTCAAAACAACAGGCCAGCATTTACAGTTATTACACGATTATGATATGTTAATGATGTTTGAGAGAGGTATACGTGGAGGTATAACTCACATATCAAAGAGATATGCAGAAGCAAATAACAAATATATGAAAAATTATAATCATGATAAACCATCAAGTTATATTCAATATCTTGATGCAAATAATCTATACGGTTGGGCAATGTCTCAAAATCTTCCAACACATGGATTCAGTTGGATGAAAAATATAACAAAAGAAAAAGTAATGGACATCCTAGATAAGGCAAATTATAGTATGTCAAATCGTGGTAAAAAAGGTTGGATATTTGAAGTAGATTTGGAATATCCCTCAGAGCTATGGGATTTACATAACGACTATCCACTTGCACCTGAAAATATAAAAGTTAATGGTGTAGAAAAATTAGTATGTCATTTTAAACCCAGAAAAAACTATGTTGTACATTATCGAAATCTTAGACAATATCTTGAGATGGGAATGAAGATTACTGCTGCTCATAGAGGTATATCATTTTACCAATCTCCTTGGATGGAGCCCTATATAAGAAAAAACACTGAACTTCGTAAAAAAGCATCTAACAGTTTTGAGAAAGACTTTTTTAAATTAATGAATAACTCAGTTTTTGGAAAGACAATTGAGAATATAAGAAAGAGACAGAATATAGAATTAGTTGATGATCGCCGCAAAGCTGCAAAACTTACAAGTCGTCCAAATTTTGATAGAGCAACAATATTTGATCCTAATCTAATTGCAGTTCATATGAAGAATACAGAAGTGTATTTTAACAAACCAGTATATGTAGGTCAAGCAATTCTAGATTTATCAAAAACTCTAATGTTCAATTTTCATTACAGTTATATCAAAGAGAAATATAAATCAAAAGCTGAGTTATTGTTTACAGATACTGACTCGTTAATGTATCAAATTCATACGGATGATTTTTATGATGATATATCTAATGATATATTAGAGAAGTTTGACACATCTGATTATCCACCATCACATCCGTCTGGAATACCAACAGGAGTTAACAAAAAAGTAATAGGAATGTTCAAAGATGAAGTAGCTGGTAGACAGATTACTCATTTTATAGGTCTTAGACCGAAACTTTATACATTCAAAATAGAAGATGGATATACATCCAAAAAGTGTAAAGGTGTAAAGAAGAGTGTTGTTAAAAAAGGAATTGATTTCGAGCATTATTTTGAGTGTTTATTCACTGGTGAAAAGCAAATGAGAACTATGAAAATAATAAGAAGTGTTAATCATGATATATATTCAAAAGAAGTAAATAAGATAGCACTAAGTAGCGAGGATGACAAAAGAAAGGTTCTTAAAGATAGAGTTAATACTTTGGCTCTTAGGTAAAATATAATTAACTTTAAGATAATAAGTTAATAAATAATAAATAATAAATGTACACAGAAGATCAAATAAAAGAATATCTTGAAATATTACATTCTTTTACTCACCCACCACAGAATATAGATAATAGAAATAAATGTAAAAATTGCCAAAGTATAAATTTTTTTATTAAATATGGAAGTTATATTTGTGAAGATTGTAGAACAATGAATGGTCATGTTCTCGGTTATTTTGATCTAAAGGAGTATGATAGATTTCATTATAGAAAAAAGAGTATTTATCAAAGAAAATACCATAATGAGAAAAAGGTCAATCAAATTTCCAAAAGTATTAATTTAAATAAAGATGAAAAAAAATTATTATACTTACATTTAATGAATATTGATGATAGTGTTTCTAAGTCACTTAATAAGCAATTTTGTCGTAAGAGATTGATAAACATTTTTTTCATTTTAAAAAAATTACTTGAGGAAATTGGTTGTGAAAAGCACAATCAAATTATTTTAAATATATCACCCCAAACTATGGAAAAATATGAAAAGTGGTGGGAAAGTTATAAAGAATTATTAGAGTAAATATATATTGTAAATACGTAAAAAATCTTTTAGATCGTTATATAAATCTCCATCAATTTCAAAATGAATATAAACTGATTTTAAAATATCATAAATTTGTTTCGTTTTAATATCATTTAAATTTAATCCTTCAATTTTTTTATAAAAAATATTTCTTGATTTTACCATTTTTTTAAATATTTTTTTCATTTCTTCAACTTCAGTTCCATTTTCTGTAAAAAATAATCATCATTCATAAAATCAAGGATATTTATTATTAGTTCTTTTGCAATACGATCAATATATTTTTGTTTAATTACAACATCACACATTTTTAATATAAGATTACATTTTTCCTTTATGAAAACACCAGTAAATAATTCCAGTTAGATATCCAAGTACTTCACATTCTTTGAAAGGTGTGTTGATAGCGTAAACACATCCTCTTCCAACACGATAATGTTTCCAGAAAGCGCGAAGGGCAAGACTAAATATTAGATGATTGGTAATAATATTTGAATCTGAGTTTAGGTGTTGTCTAGCTTGTGTTAGTCGATAAATGATTTGCTCCATATCCATTTTTTGTGAAAAATATCTTGCGCAGAGAAATTGGTAAACAAGACAAGCTTTGATGAAGTTATCGGAGTAAAACTGAGTCTTATATGTTGGAAAGTATAAATTAACATATTCCACGATTGAACTAATCATTTTCTATCTTACGAATAGATATCTTAGGAAGAAATTGATTAAATATAAAAGCAGGGGTCGTGAAACGCGACCCCAACAAAATAATTATTTACTTATCACACCAGCGTACCCAAAACGGGTACGGTGGCTCCAAGTGGTAGTATATGCACTTATATCAATGAAAGTGGGTGATACATTTACTGATGAAGAAGGTATAAAATAATAGGAAGAAATTGAATTATGATTTAAAGAGATAAAAAGTATAAATAAAAATGGAAAACTCTTTAGAAAAAGTTTTTATAAATCAACAACTTGGAATCAAGTTCATATCTTACATCGATGAAAAATGTAGAGTATGGTTCAAAGCCAAAGATGTGGCTAAAATACTTGGATACGAAAATACAGAAAAAGCTATAAAGAGTCATGTAAGTGAAAATCACAAAATAAAAATTCTTTTTAGCAACCATCACGAAACGCACGGTTGCTCTATGACATATTTTATCGACGAAGCAGGCTTTTATGAATTAGTTTTTAAATCTAGATTGCCCGCTGCAAAAATGTTTAGAGAGTGGGTTTTCAAAAAAGGTATTACCATCAATTCGAAAGTATGGTTATTATAGAATGGTAGATTTAAAAATAAAACAAAGAGTTATATTCAAAGGAAAAAAATACTACAAACATCCTGTTTTTAGTAATTACGCCGCAAGAAAAAATGGAGATATTTTAAGTTTAAAAACTGAAAGAATTTTAAATATGGCAAAACATGGCGAAGGATATTTATGTTTTGGATTGTATGATGAAAAACTCGAAAAAAAACTTGGGAAAAAACGAATAAATTATCTTCAACACAGATTTGTTTACGAGGTTTTTCGAGGACCAATTCCAAGATGTTTTGAGGTGGATCATATAAATGGGATAAAGAGTGATAATAGAGTTAAAAACTTGCAACTACTTACTCATAAGCAGAATATTGCAAAAAGTAAAAATAAATCAATAATTTCTATAAATATAGAAACTGGAGAAAAAAGAAGATTTATATCCATCAAAAAAGCATCAATTGAATTTGGTATTAATTCTGCTCATATTTCTGATATTTGTAGAAAAAAAAAGTATTGTAAAACAGCAACATCTAAAAAAGATAAACAAAAATATACTTTCAAATTCTTGGATTAGGTTTCAATACTAATTAGTATTGAAAACAGGATTATACAAACTTGTTTTAAAATCAAAACTAGAAGCTGCTAAGTTATGTGTTTTATATAATTGTTATTACTCTAATCTTTAAATTAAAATAAGCTTAAAATCATAAATTATATTATAAAATGGAAGATGAAATATACAAAACAAAACAAAAACTAATCAAAAAAGGTTTGCAATATATAGACTCTTTTGAAGGATATTTATATAAGAAACATCCTGATACTTATGTAAAATATTTAGATTTTAGAAATAAAAGAAAATCTAATAGATTAAAAGAAACAATGAGTTTTTTAGAAAATAATATGCTTGCATATATTAATATTCTTGCATATTTATCACAATGTAATTTAAATATGGAACGATTGGATAAAAAATTTAGAAGAGATAATATAGATGACGTCTGTGGTGTGATTTGGGCAATAAATGAATTTTATAAACTACCAAATCAATCGAGATTGAATTTTTTTGATGAGATTGAAGAGTTTATAGTAGAACAAATAGAAAAATCTTTAGATTAAATATTATTTTATATTAAATTTTTCATTATACCTGCTAGCAAATCTATCTGCTATAGGAGACTGATCAATTATCATTTCATCTATTAGTTTCATACGATCAACAAAATCTTGTTTACTCCACTCATCTCCTCTGAGTGCTGATCGCAGTTCTACTAATACTTTTTCATAAGTAGTAAATGCAATTCTTGACATTTCAATTTTTCTCTTATAATTCTTTTTCTTTCCAATTCCCGCCACAACAACTCCAGCACCATTTACAACTCCTAGAACAATGGGGTTTAGTGTAATACCACCAGTAATAGTTCCTATTGCAACCAGGCAAATTCCAGAGATAGAAAATACATCATCAAGAAATTTGTAACTCTTATAACACCTTTTGTAACACCAGTATTTCTTGTGATAGTGACTATAAAAGTCTTTGAGAGTTGTGACGTCTGATTCTGACAAAGATTTATCAATGTGATTAAATTCAAAGATATCCTTCATTTATATTTACATTATATAAGATCCACTTAACTTTTCTTGAAGCATTACTTTGTGAAATTGCTCAGAGTCGGTGTCGTAAAAGTTTGGAGAGTATATTAATCTTATTAACACTCCATCTTCAGTTGTAAACTTCCAACGTTGATTAGCATTGTAATTAACAGCTGGTATAGTTAATGTTGAGCTGTAGTTACTTATTGAAACTTTTGTGACATTTGCACTAAGATTTTCTGTTAGCCATACAACAATTATTTTTCCGTTAAAACTACTTAGCATGGTAAAATTTTGAGTTGTTTTATTGACAGTTAAAGTTACTTTATTGTTTGATTTATTATAATCCAATTTTACTAAAATATTATTGTTTGTTGATAAATATTTAGTTAGGGTAAAACTCCTATTTCTCCGATGAGTAAAAACAATACATAAAGTATCTACTGAAGAATGTGAAGGAGAAAAAGTAACATCATAACCATTAACATGTAATCCTTTTTCTACTATTTCACTTAGGTCTTTATTATGAGGTAGTGTAATATTAGGTTTTAAAGAATTAATAATAACTCCAGATGAGCCTATATTTATTCCGTATATAAGCTATCCGCATCAGCAAAGTCATAGACCTCACTAAAGTATAATCTGTACAAAGCATTTTTAGTAAAAGGAGCTACTTCTTTTACTAATGCAACTGTTGCAGCACTATTATCATTTTGTCGGTCAAGTTTGATATTTTTAATTTCTTTTTGATTTGCATTTATATCAACGTTGTACACTACTTCTTTTGGTTTGATATCAAATGCGGTGTGATAGTCGTAAACTTTATCTGGGTCGATATTGCTAAATGTACCCACAATTCCATAAGCAATGATGTAAACTCCTTTAAAAAGTGTCGGATACGTAGAGATATTATATCCACCCCGAAGAATATCAACCAAAATGTGAAGAAAGAACTTATTCCCAGATGACAACTTCCGGAAATCAATTATTATTCTGTGGTAGTACATAGTTTGTGTTTTCCTTGTTGAATCAGTATACCTATGGGATAGTTTTTTTACAATTACATTTCCAATTGATAATCCTTTTGAAGTTCCTTTGTCAACACTTATTCGTGTATTATTCCAAAGATTATAATCAGTGTTGAGTATTTCCAAACACAACGTGTATTCGGTATTTGCAGTTAGTCTGTAAAAATTAATTCCCATCTTATAAATATATTTTTGTAAAAATCCATACTTTGATATAGTCGCGTAAATTACTTTGTGATTATAGTCGTGAAAGTTTCCTTTGTTTGGTGCTAAATCTCCTATTTTTGTTATAACAAATCTATACCCTCCATCCGTTTCATCAGTCCATTGAGCCCCACTTGACATGAGGTAACTAAACTCATCTTTATAATGGCTTGGTTGAACTGCAGTACTATGAACTAGATTGTCGACATAACCTTTGGTTACTGCTTCATTGTCTTGGGTTGGTACACCCAGATTATTTATATTATTACCACCAAGGTTGACATCAGCTTTTACAACCCCACTTATTACAATTTTAGGTGTGTTGATTTCTATTCTCTTAAGTGGTTTGGTTATTGCTTTTGGTAGATCAGTGAATAGCCGACAAGTGATAGCTGTGTGATTGGAATTGTTATGGGTTCGTAGTTTTACTCCTGACATATTATAATTCCAAGACTTGTGAATATTTAATGACCAAGTGCCAGTTCGATTTCCACTTACCCAAAAGTTAGAATTGGTATGAGTGTCATCTCTGGGAATAAACCACAGAAAGTCAACGTTTATATTTCGCGAACCAAATTGAAATTCTATTTTGTTAATGTATGTGTTAGCAGTTGGTGTCCACCCTACAAGAGGTTGGCCAGGTGCTGATGTTGTAAAAACAAAATCATCAAATGATGAACCTGAGATATATTGTAGATACAAAGTCGTTGGCGCAGCTGGATCTGTTATGGTAAATACACCACTTGTTCCATCTCCAGAATGATGATCAAACCTTTCTATTTGTTTACGAACCCATCCGCGATTAGCAGCTTGTTGATCTGTGGCGGGGTCACTGAGGTTAACTATTTTATTATTACCAAGATCAAGGTTTCCAGTCATAGCGACGGTACCATCTTTTTCCAAGTAATCACTCAAATCTGGACTTCCAACATTATCATCCACATATTTTTTAGTTGCAGCATCTGTGTTTGACACTGGAGTTGCGAGACCAACTATTTTATTATTACCAAGATTAAGGTTACCAGTCATAGTGACGGTACCATCTTTTTTAAAATAATTACTTAAATCTGGACTTCCAGCATTATCATCCACATATTTCTTTGTTGCGGCGTCTGTATTTGATGTTGGAGTTACAAGACCAACTATTTTTTTGTTTCCAACATTAAGGTTACCAGTCATAGCAACACTTCCATCCTTTTTTATAAAAGAACTTGTATCAGGTATCGAGTCGTCCACATATTTTTTGGTTGCACCATCTGTGGAGTCTGTTGGAGGCCTAAGGTTAATTATTTTTTTATTATCCATGTTTAGATTATTAGTCATGTTATTTGTTCCAGCAACGTGGAGATACTTCAAATCTGTGAAAGCTAATGGTGTTGGTTGATTAACACCATTTGGAGCTGGCAGATTTAATATTCGATTGTTGTCCATATTAAGATTTCCTTTCATTGGGTAAGATCCATCTCTGTTAAGAAATGTGTTGTCTACGTAACATTTTGTTGCTGGATCTTTTGAATCCTGTGGTGTGATAAGATTTTGAATTCGGTATGTATCTTTCATATCAATGTTTGAATCAACTGTTAGTCTTGATGTTGAGGGTGATCCACTGGAATTATCGTCTACATATTTTTTTGTAGCAGCATCAGTATTATTACTAGGTGCACCAACATTTCTTAGTTTTTTATTTATCATATCATAATCCCCACTTGAAGTGAGATTAAATCCAACTCCTGGAGCACCTTGTATTCCTTTAGCAAAGGGATGATCAAGAGATTGTTCGTTAAATATTCCCATTTTAATTATTGGTTAGATTACCAGTAAAGTTTTTTGCAATACGTTTTCTTGGTTTATCAACATATAGAAATGAATACGGTTTTTCAGTTGCTGCGTGGTAATCTTCTTTACTAACTCCTAACTCAGATGATATTCTATTAGCCTCCCTAGATGATGGAAATTCGTATAAACAGTAATGAGAACAATTCAGCCGAATATCTTTTGGTGTTTTATAAAACGATTGACTGAGATACACCACCGAACAATTCTTATGTCGTCCTTGAATGAAATAATCAATCAGTTGTCTCTGGTTGCGATCACAAACGTAGTCATCGAATATCACAAGTTTTTTATTGTCTTCATAATCCATTTCTGACACTGGGGTTATTTCATCATTACTTACATGAAGTATTTCATATCCCAGTTTACTACTCATCTCCCTCATTTTTTGAATTAGCTTTTGATACTTATCCTGTTCTAGATTACGAGCGTAAAGATAAATTTCATCATAATACAGTAGTGGTTTAATTAGCATATGATATAACAAATTAGTCTTACCACTTCCACTGTTTCCACAGATTAACATCCGAAATGTGTTTGATGGCATGTAAGGAAATAACTGTTTATATTTTTTATCTGGGTTGTCACCACTATCATAGTTTGGTATTTCCATTTTATCTAATATACATATTAAATAAAATGGATATTGAAGAATACAAAAAACTTGCAAGAAATAAAATTGAAGCTGATGCTTTGACTCGACAGGTGAGAGATGTCATAAAAATAACAAAATGGGAAAAACAAAATATGAGAGAGGGTTTTAAAGAAACATTTAAACCACTTATTGAATCACAGGATAGTATTAAAAAAAGTATTGATGAGCAGCAAAACGCAACTATAGCACAACTTAAAAAAAATCAACTTGCTCTTACTCAAGGTTTTGAACAGTTCAACCGATTAGCTGATATTAGAGAATTACCATATGTTGGAGAAGATCTGGGAGAATATGATAATGAAGAAGGTTGGCATGGAAATTGGAAATATATCCCAGAAGGTACACCTCCGGATAAATATTTAAATTTAGAAAAAAACTTTGACGGAAATGACCTAGGTTTATTAAAAGAATATGGATACCCAAGACCAAATTCTTTCTTTGAAATTAGTCCTAAAGATTTAGATCTAACTTTAGAAGAATTAAAAGGTAATATAAAACAGTTAACTGGTGAAATTAGTGGTAGAAATAAAGCTAAAAATCCATCTCCACTGTATGAAACTGAAACTGAAATTAAAAAAATGCAAAAAGGAACACTAATGAAATATAAAAATACAATGAAAGATTACTTAAGATCGCTTAAATATAAGGTAGGGGAAGGTATTTACTTTAACAACCCACTTCAACTTCTAGACAGACTTGAATTACTCGGTGGTTCAATTCTTGCTGGTAATAATGGTGTAATACCTGAGTTTTCTCAAATAGCACATCTTCTCAACCAAATGAAAGTGATCTCAAAAAAATAACTTAACGATCTACTAAAAAGTTATATACCAATTATATAAAAATGGAAGAACGAGCTATTCACATTTCCTCAATAAATAGAGAAAAAAGAGGAACAAGCAGACCTGGTGATTTTACTATAAAGTTTAATCCATCTCTAAAACTTGACCCTGAAAAGAAACATCAACTTGCTCTCGATCGACTGTCCATGACTTACTCTTGGTACAATTTTAGAAGTGATTATGGAAACAATAAAATAAAATACACCCACGATGGGTCCACCTGGCAAACAATTACTTTTACAGATGGAATGTATTCCTACTCAGATATTAACGATTACATTCATCAGTATATGACTCAAAAAAACCATCACTCAACAGATTCAAGTGGAAAAAAGGAGTATTCAATCAATTTAACTTTTATACTATCTACCTATCGAATTTTAATTTCAGTTAGTAATAACTATCAACTTGATCTGAGAGGAACTAAATTTGGAGACCTAATTGGATTTGAAAAGAAACTTATTAAAAAAACAGAGTATGGAACAAAACTACCAAATATCACAAATTCGATTGATGTATTGAATATCAACACAAGCGCAATAACTGATAGCATTGTAAATGGAATAAATACAAATACTATTGCTGTGGTACCAACTGATAATCTCACAAGGTCTTATCCATTTACGTTTGAGCCTAAAAGACCATTGTATTGTTCTGTATCTACATTTCACATTGATGAAATGAGAATCTATGTGACAGACTCACTTGGAAGACCGGTAAATTTTAACGGTATAGATTGGTTTATGACTTTGATACTCCACTCGATGTAATATAATTATTAAAATAAAATGATGCGACAATCAGAGTTTAAAATGAAACTTGACCCTGAATTGGGTAGATATACAAGACAACATATTTACGGAGAAGGAATGACGGATGTGTTTAAATCGGTTGGTAAAAAAATATTTGGAAAAACAATGAAAAAAGCTGCTAAAAGGGGCGCTAAAAAAGCGGTAACAATGGCTGCAACAAAAACTGGTGAACATGTAGGTAAAAAGGCTGGTGATAAAATAGTTCAAATGTTATCCAACGGGGGGGTGCAACCCTCCCGAAAACCCCCTGCTAAAAAAGTTAACAAAACAATGACACAACAACAAGAGTTAGATCAAATGTTGAATAACCTTCTTAGTGGAGGTTCTACACGTAAGAGAAAATTATATAATTATTAAAATAAAATGAAGTCATTTAGAAATCCAAAATATTTAGATAGATATGAGGATGTTGTTTATGACCTGGAACAGGCACTAGATACAGCTCCAGCAAATAACGCGCACCAAACTAAAACAGGTCTTAGATTTGTTGCTGATAATACAGGAGAAACTACTCCTTTTGATTGGTATAACGCACGATTATCAATGGATTTTAAAGTAAATAAGCTGGCAGATGAAGGACCTATTGCAGCTAACGATCATAATGGAATTGTAAATGGTAGTAACTCCTTTGTAGAAAAATTAAGTATTCTAGCAAATGGAAGAGAAGTTTATAGTTGTAACTACGCAAATCATGTTGTAAATATTAAAAATTTGCTTGAGTATAATCCTTCATATGCACAGAGTGTTGCTACAAACGAATTTTATTTTCTTGATAAATCAAGAGCTGCAGAGGAAAGATCTGCTCAAGCAACTTATAATAAAGGTTTTCATTCAAGAAAATTACTATTAGGTGCATCAGCCACAGTAAACTGTGAAATTCCTCTTAATAGATATTCTTTCTTTGAAGCATTGGAAGATAAACTACTTCCTAATACAAAAATTGAGCTAAATATCGAGATTGAAAAAGATGCAAATTTAATTTTTTAAGCTGCTGATGATTGTAGAGTTATTATAACAAGACTACAACTTTTTATTCCAAAACTTACATTTAATTCAGAAGGGCAAAAGTTGTATATGGAAAATTATCTTAAACCTTACAAATGGACATATTTGAATGAAGTAGTTGAAAGATCAAATAATTCACAGCAACAGACAGGACATTTTAGAATTACAAATGCTATTTCAAAGCCAAGGCATGTATTTGTTTTTGGTATTAACACAGCAAGAATTGATGCACAAACAGCAAATCCATTTGTATACGACACTTTTAATCTGCCAAATACTGCTAATATATCAAGATGTTACTTGGAAGTTGCAAATGGAAACGAATACCCAGATATTCACTTTAAACCTTCTACAGATTTGTCAAGAGTTTTTAGAAATGTAATGTCATACGTCTATGCAAATAATGATTATCAAGGTGGAACACTTCTTAACATAAGTACTTTCAAAACTTTATTTCCTTTTGTTTATTTTGACCTAACAAAACAAAAAATGGATATCAAAGATGGAGTTACAAAATTAGCATTTCATTACGAACTATCTGCTAATCCAAACGCTGATTATAATATTTACGCATTAGTATTACATGAAAGAGTAGCAGAAATATCACAACAGGACGGAAAACTATTGCTTAGGGCTTAATCTAAAAATAAAATAAAAATGGTACATCCTTTTGATATTTATCCACCAGTAACTTTAGAAAAATATCCTTTTTTAAAAGAAAATAAATACTTTGAATATGTTATAAAATTAACTCCATCACAAATAAAAGAATTTGGAGAAAACAATATTATAACTTTAGACTTTACATCTAATAAAGAACCTTTTAAAGTTTTTCTTACAAATACCCAGATCAAAAAAGTAGAAGTTGCAAAAAAACTTAATAAAAAAGTTGATTTAAAATTCAGTAAAACTCAGTTTAAAAAAACTTTGCCTTATGTTACTAGATTAAATCATTCGCGGATAAATCAACGAGCTAAAGATCGACTTGAGATTTTTAAATCAGAAAATGCTAGGAAAATTAAAAAAAATTAATTAATTAAAGCTACAAGACCGACTTGAGACTTTAAAAACAGAAAATGCTAAGAAAGCCAAACAAGTTAAAATTATTAAAAATACTTTAAAAAAATATAATGAACCTAAAACTAAGAAGAAAATAATAACAGATATGATTAAATTTCCTGAAATAAATTTAATATAAATATTATAATAAAAAAATGACAACTTATATTGAATATGGAGTAAAACTTACAGATGGGCAAAAGTCAAAATTGGCTTCTGCAATATTAAATCAATCACCATTAACACTTCGATTAAAACATTCTCATCTTCGTGGACCTGATGAGTTAATGCTTACCCGCAGACAAATAGATAAAATAAAAAAATCCATTTCAAATGGAACAGGATCTGATATAAAGATAAGTCGTACACAAATTAGACGTTCTGTAAGACATGGAGGAAACTTATTTTCATCACTAGCATCTCTTGGAGCAAAAGTATTACCTTACGCAATAAAAGGAGTTTCAAAAGTTGTTCCTGCATTAGCAACTGGTGCTGCTACTGCACTTGGAGAAATTGGATTGAATAAAATATTTGGAAAAGGAATTACAATTCCCCCACAGTTTTTCCCAATGTTACCACCTCTTGTAAGAGAATTTACCAAATCACAAATAAATCAAATTAACAAAGCTTATCAAACAGGTGGGCGATTAGTTATAAAACCAACTCGTAAACAAATAGAAGGAGGATTTCTTGGAACTCTTGCATCTATTGGAATTCCAATGGCAATTAGTTTAGTATCTAAGATGTTTGGATCTGGACTGCAGGTTGATAGACGTGGATCATCTAATACAGCAAATGTTTACGTTCCACATCCTCCTCCACCACCCACACATGGAGAAGGTTATCCTTATCACTTTTCACCACCCTTTATCGGTACATGGGGAAACCCAATTGGAATGGGAGTTAAAAAAAAAAAGTCCAAGTCCAAAGGAAAAGGACTACTACAAGGAAAAAACAGCCCATTCAACTCAATTCCAATTCTCGGAACCATTTTGTAATTAAACCTCTATCCAACTTTGATCTTATGGATTGGGTAAAGAAACTTGGTATTAAACATTTTAGAGGAATATATAGTCGCGATGGACTACCAAACAAAATCAAAAAAGAATGTGGAATAATTAATCTAGATGATATAAGAGGTCCTGGAACACATTGGGTTTGTTATAGAAATCTGGATTCAGTAGTTGAGTACTTTGATCCATTTGGACTGATAATGCCAAATGAAGCATTAAAGTATTTTCGTACTTCTGGAAAACGAATAGTTTACTCAATGGATGAAATACAAAATCGCAATACTGTTCTCTGTGGTTATTGGTGTTTATATTATTTATTTGAAAGACAGCGGGGTAATAGTATTCTAGATATAATACATAACCCTCATTTTGATGATGACAACAGTGATTTTATAAAGGAATATTTTGGAGGATAAAAATAATATTTATTAAATATTATTTTTTTATTCACTATCCGCTGGTGCATCCTTTAGTTGCTTAACACTCTCAACTTTTTTATTTAAATCTTTAACACTATCAACTAACTCATTAAAATTAGAGTAAATATTAATAAGTCTAAAAAGTTTCTTCTTTTTATCACTTCTTATTTTCAACCAAGAATAGTCCTCATCTCTGATTTTCCCCCACATCTCACATTCACCAGCCATTAGTATTCTAGAAAGATCATCATTTTTCTTTCTAAGAGACTCAAACTCATTATTTATTTGTGTTCGTACATCTTTCTCAAAATCTTTTAGTGTTTTAACATCCATCTTTTTTTCTATCTCAGAAAAGAATTTGGCTTCCATTTATTATATAAATAGATAATTACCTTTTACAACTTTATTAAGTGTATTCGATTTTTCACTTATTTCCATAAGCAACTCAAATACTTTTATAAATCTAGTGTCATTTTCCAATCTAGCAAAATCAGCATATTCATAACTCATATTTAGGTTGTTATATATCTTTTGAAGTTCACTTTTTAAAAAATTAGATCTAGTAGACATATTTATCTAAACATTATACTAAATGACAGAATCATATTGCATTGTAGATAAAAGAGTAACTCCTTGCACAGAACCAAGTGGTTACCAAAAAGATAAAAGAGGTAGAACTCAATTCTATTGTAGATGCGCAGTTTGTGGAAACAAAAAAGTTAGATATGTGAAAACTGAAACAGCTTCTCAAACCGGATGTGGAAAAAAGAGAAAACGAAAGTCAAAAAACTAAACAGCCCGTCTGAAGGGGCGGGCGTCTTTGATACTGTTGTTGGTACAGCAGTTGATGGTTTTGTTCATTACGGTTTACCTTGGATGGGTAAGAAAGCAGTTGAAATGGGTAGATATGGAGCAAGCGAGTTAATGAGAAATAAAAATCTTCAGAAGAAAGCGGTAAATTATGGGATTAATAAACTCACTCCATTTATTCAAGATTCTGTTGGAACAGCCATGGACCAGTTATCAACAAAAGTGAGACCAAAAAACAAATATAAAACTGATAGACCAGAATTAGATGGAAGAGGAATAGATATCCACAAGCAGATTGGAAAATTACCAAAACCAAAAGGTGGATGGACCTTACCAGGTCATAAATATACAGGTCCTTATAATGATCTCGAAAACCAAGTAAGATACAATCCGGAAACTGGTGAAATATTAGAAATTTACGATCAACCAACTGGGCCAACTGATGCCGTGGCCATGCAACATGATGTTGATTATAGTGTTTGTGGTGACGACCGAAAATGTAAAAATAAAGCTGACAGAAAGATGGTTAAATCGTTAGATGCAATCCCTTGGAAAGAAAGACAATGGGGCATACTTTGGCTAGAACAATAATTAATACTAAACAAAAACTTGGAATGGGAACAAAAAACGTAAAGCGGCGTTGAGTAGTGATTGGTCTCAACAATTAGCCGACGAACTTCACAAACCAATCACAAGAAACTTTCAAAAGAGATCAGTAATCTCAAACGGGATTGATGATATCTGGGCTGCTGATTTGGTTGAAATGCAAAAGTTTAGTAAGTGGAACAAAGGGATAAAGTATCTGCTAATGGTAATAGATGTGTTTAGCAAGTATGGATGGATTAGGGGACTGAAAGATAAGAAAACTGAAACTGTTAGTAAAGCATTTGATGACATATTCAAAAGTAAACGTAAACCGCAGATGTTATGGACAGATAAAGGTTCTGAGTTTATCAGTAAACATTTCAAAGATTTTCTGAAAGAAGAGGGAATTAAGTTGTATCATACTGAAAATGAAGAAAAATCTAGTGTTGTTGAGCGATGGAATAAAACAATGAAAAATAGAATGTGGAAGATGTTTACTGTAAATAACAACACTGTTTACTGGGATAAGATAGATAAACTGGTTAATGACTACAATAATGCGAGACACTCTAGCATTAAAATGACTCCTGTTGAAGCTAGTAAAAAGAAAAATGAAAGTAAAGTTTGGAATAATTTGCACGGTGATTTGATCTACTTGAAACCTGGTAAACCAAAGTTTGCGATTGGTGACCATGTTAGAATTTCAAAATATAAGAGAAAAGTATTTGATAAAGGTTACACACCAAACTGGACAGAGGAAATATTTGTAATTGATAAAGTTATGACAACAAAACCTGTTACGTATAACATTGTTGATTTGATGGAAGAAGAGATTAAGGGTTCTTTCTACGAGCAAGAATTACAGAAAGCAAAACAGCAGACATTTAGAATAGAAAAGATAATCAGACGAGATAATAAGAAAAAAATGGCATTAGTAAAATGGAGTGGATATCCTGATAAATTTAACTCATGGGTGAGTTCTAAGGATTTGGTTGATTTTTAATACAAATAATGTATTAAAAATAAAATCCTATTATTTACTCATTTTCTTCTTTATCAGATGAAAGTAAGTCTTCAACTACTTGCTCACTATCCTCTTCATCTTCATCTTCCTCTTCAATTGTTAGTAAAGATTCTCTAGGTTTTAATGGTTTGACATAGCACTCATGTACTTTTATTTGTAAAGATGTAACAGTTTTACTTATAAAGATTCCTTCGATTATCAGTGCCATTTTAACATTACCATACTGATTGATATATTTGAAAGGATTTAAATCTTTCTTTCCTTTTGTTTTAAATAGCGAAAGAATTTTCTTAGATTTCTCAGAGTAAATCAGTTTTGCGTAAAGAACTGGCGAAGATGATGGATCTACTCTTGTTTTCTTCTTTCCTTTCTTATCTGTATATTCTTCCTGTTTAAAATAAAATGGTGAAGATAAAGTTGATGCCATATCTGCACCGTATTCATTCTCCAAATATTGTTGAGAGGCAGTTGTTATATTATTAATAACATCAAAAAATGCACGCTCTTTAGTACTCGGCTCACTACCTTTAGCCCAAAGACATACTGGTATGGAGTAGCCTACTAACTTGTTTGTTTCTTGGTTTTTCTTCTCACTTACTCCAAAAGAGAAAAGAACTGGAGTTTCGATTACTAGTGGGCCTTTTTTGTTATTTGGATATTTGACTTCAATTGGTATACGTTTGTATTTGATTTTGCTATCTTTTACTTTGTACTCTTTAGGATCATTAAAAATAATATTCTCTGGCGTAAGATTTTCGTAAGCTGATAACTGCATTTTTTATTATAATAATTTAATCTTAAAGCCTAAATTTATTTTCAATTTTATTTTCTAAAAAAGATAACTTTAATGAAATACTTTCCAATCTTAATGTTATTTGTTTAAATCCTTCTTCTATAACTTTTAAAAGTACTTGTTTATAAATACTATCTCTATCTAAATTAACAAAAACTTTTTTACCATCTAAATCTAAGTCATTGGATGAACTCATTTTATATTATTTTTATATAATCTTTAAATAACTTTTTTTGGCCAGAGAAGACGTGTTGACCAATAGTTAGCTGATTCTGGATTATTATAAGTTAACTCTCCTTGTTTATTTTTAATCTTTGTCGCTCTAGCAAGATACTTATCTCTTTTTTCTTTGTCTTTGTGAATAAGATAATCTGGATATTTAGGCGAACCAAAATGAACTTTCTTTCCACTTTGAAGAGTTGCCATATATTTGTTATTTTTTCGTGTTGAATAATCAAGCGATTCAGCACCAAGTTTTTTAGCATTCCTGGTTAGTTTTTTGAAATCATTTCCACTAACAAGATATTTTTTATCTGGAACATAATCTGGATCCTCGTCATGTTTATAACCATCATCAACTATAAAATCCAAATCCTCTTTAGTAGGAGTAGTTTCTCTAGATCTTGGTTCCATTTTTATTAGATGATTATATTAAAAAAAGTCTTATAACAATATTGTTAGAAGACTTAATCACTATCTAAATCACTATCATATAAATAATAATCACTCTCATAACCATCACTATTCATAAATCTATTATAAATCTCAAAATAAGTTGGATAATCAGGTTTTAACTGTGACTTAAACTTTTCATAACTTTCGTAAAATTCATCATACTTAATTTTATCATTCAGATCAAATTCTACGACTGGAATATTATCTTCGTAATACGCGTAAAACACATCTCCGTAATCTTCTAATTCATTTTCCAAAAAATCTATAAAATTAACATCTGTTTCTTTCAAACGTAAATGACTTATATCTTGTTGTAATCTTCCATTTTTTTGAGCTCTCAAAAATCTATCAAAATGTTTTTTTATTGCATATGCAGATGAACTACTAAATTTATTATTTTCTCTTTTTTGAATTAATGATTCTATACTTTTATTAGAAGGGCAAAAGTTGTATATGGAAAATTATCTTAAACCTTACAAATGGACATATTTGAATGAAGTAGTTGAAAGATCAAATAATTCACAGCAACAGACAGGACATTTTAGAATTACAAATGCTATTTCAAAGCCAAGGCATGTATTTGTTTTTGGTATTAACACAGCAAGAATTGATGCACAAACAGCAAATCCATTTGTATACGACACTTTTAATCTGCCAAATACTGCTAATATATCAAGATGTTACTTGGAAGTTGCAAATGGAAACGAATACCCAGATATTCACTTTAAACCTTCTACAGATTTGTCAAGAGTTTTTAGAAATGTAATGTCATACGTCTATGCAAATAATGATTATCAAGGTGGAACACTTCTTAACATAAGTACTTTCAAAACTTTATTTCCTTTTGTTTATTTTGACCTAACAAAACAAAAAATGGATATCAAAGATGGAGTTACAAAATTAGCATTTCATTACGAACTATCTGCTAATCCAAACGCTGATTATAATATTTACGCATTAGTATTACATGAAAGAGTAGCAGAAATATCACAACAGGACGGAAAACTATTGCTTAGGGCTTAATCTAAAAATAAAATAAAAATGGTACATCCTTTTGATATTTATCCACCAGTAACTTTAGAAAAATATCCTTTTTTAAAAGAAAATAAATACTTTGAATATGTTATAAAATTAACTCCATCACAAATAAAAGAATTTGGAGAAAACAATATTATAACTTTAGACTTTACATCTAATAAAGAACCTTTTAAAGTTTTTCTTACAAATACCCAGATCAAAAAAGTAGAAGTTGCAAAAAAACTTAATAAAAAAGTTGATTTAAAATTCAGTAAAACTCAGTTTAAAAAAACTTTGCCTTATGTTACTAGATTAAATCATTCGCGGATAAATCAACGAGCTAAAGATCGACTTGAGATTTTTAAATCAGAAAATGCTAGGAAAATTAAAAAAAATTAATTAATTAAAGCTACAAGACCGACTTGAGACTTTAAAAACAGAAAATGCTAAGAAAGCCAAACAAGTTAAAATTATTAAAAATACTTTAAAAAAATATAATGAACCTAAAACTAAGAAGAAAATAATAACAGATATGATTAAATTTCCTGAAATAAATTTAATATAAATATTATAATAAAAAAATGACAACTTATATTGAATATGGAGTAAAACTTACAGATGGGCAAAAGTCAAAATTGGCTTCTGCAATATTAAATCAATCACCATTAACACTTCGATTAAAACATTCTCATCTTCGTGGACCTGATGAGTTAATGCTTACCCGCAGACAAATAGATAAAATAAAAAAATCCATTTCAAATGGAACAGGATCTGATATAAAGATAAGTCGTACACAAATTAGACGTTCTGTAAGACATGGAGGAAACTTATTTTCATCACTAGCATCTCTTGGAGCAAAAGTATTACCTTACGCAATAAAAGGAGTTTCAAAAGTTGTTCCTGCATTAGCAACTGGTGCTGCTACTGCACTTGGAGAAATTGGATTGAATAAAATATTTGGAAAAGGAATTACAATTCCCCCACAGTTTTTCCCAATGTTACCACCTCTTGTAAGAGAATTTACCAAATCACAAATAAATCAAATTA